GCGGATGAACGCTGTGGTAGTCAACTGCAAACTGGTCTGAGTAATGGGATCTTGGGAGACCTAAATGAAATATTACCCATAGTAAATGTCAAGATCAGACATAGGGAGAAGTAACCAACAGTAGCATTGTTACTTGACAGTGTTAAAGCATGCTGCTGAAGAGGGGAGTCTTTAAAAATACTGCCCTGATACCGCTTTCAGAAATGTTTGGTCCTGGAGCTTTTCATATCAGCGGCTGTACTTTGGTGAGACCAAGGAATGGTCTGGCATAGTGTCGGGTTGCTGGCAGGTAGGCAGGAATAATCCTTCTTCTGTATGTCTTTCCAGTAATCAGCTGGTGATTGCATCAGGATTGTTAAGTCCTTTGATGGATATATATAAAAGCTATACTCTGAATATGTCTAACTGCTCTTTGAACCCATTTCTCCTTTGGATCTCACAGTATCTTTGGCACTGAGCTTTGTAACTTAATGTGGTTGTTTCTTTTCTGCTTTTAAGTCCTCTGCTCAGTAATTTCATCAAACACGCTCTATCTCATGTGCAGTGAGAGGTAACAAATGTTTGCTGTCCATTTCTAGATATCATTCATGACTTTGTAGAACTGTTGTATCCTCTGTTCAGCTGAAAATCTGCATTATTTGGTATTTTCTGAGTGGCTATCATTTCATTCTTGTTATCCCCTTTCTATTTGCCTTTTCTGTGTTTACTACCCCTTTTTAGACGGTGAGTCTACTACCCCTTTTTAGACACCAGAGTCGCATAATAAATTTTTGTAGCGCTGTAACAGTAACTTGTTTTGCTCTTAAAAATATTGTTCTTGCCTTTTTGATTGCTGCAGAGCATTGGATACTACTCGGAAGGTATTGGCTCTCGCTAAGCCTGTGGGTTTCTTGTTTGATAACAACTGAACTAAATCCTGTTGTGTTGTGTGTATAATTAGGGTTGTTTTTTCCCATATGCATTGCTTTGCATGGGATGACTTTGTTGCAGACTTAAAACTCATCTTCAGGGACTTCCTGTCCGTAGGGTGAGTTTCACTGGAGAAACATTGAGTTCCTGGTTTGTTTGGGTTTTTTATTATTATTTGGAGAAAAGAAAAAAAACTTCCTCTCTTCAGTGCAGCTGGGATTCTGGGACTTTCTGGACCACCTCTTCTCATGTTGGACGAAGTCTTTAAGGAGAGAAACCTGGCGTGCCAAACCCTTTCTCTGCAGAATGACAGAGGACAGGAACCTCTCAGTTGTGAAGGGTGTTTACTACAGTCAGGCAGAATTGGAGACGCAAGCGTGCAGAATCAACCCATGGGTGAAAAGGTGCATCGGAGCAAAGGTGCTGGTGCTGTGTACGTACTTTGGCTCAGCAGTTCTCGTTGCTATTCAGTATCAGCACGTGTTGCTCCTATAGGAATGTTTGTTCTGATAACCCTTGCTGTGATTCTGTTTAGGGAGGTAGCTTGCCAGTCCAGGCTCATTTCGTAGCTCAGTAATATCTGTTGAAAGAAGCAGATACCACTCAGCTGTTTGGCTTCTTTCATGCAGGGTTTTATGTTTAATTTTCCTGCAGAAGTTTCATGTCTGATGCATGCCTTTTATGCCACAATTTAAAGCCTTCTGAAGATATTTTTACTATCCCAGCTTGTGATATCAGGATATGCGCAAGTAGAGGAAATGACGATCCATCATGAATATTTACTGGTGTAAATGCATGTGACACACATGATACACTGCATGTCGTCTGTGCAACTTGCACACGTGCATTTAGTCAAGAACATACGACAAGCAGCAGTGTCACAAATAGATGCTTCAATAGGAAGCAGTGGTGGCGGTGGTAAAGCTAGATCTTGCGGTAGGATGTGGTTAGAGTGCTGTTGATTCACATTTTTACATTATATACAGGTTAAGCTAATGTGGTAAGGCTTGGATATTTCCACTGAAAGAATGCTGGGTAAAATGTTGAATTGGAGCAGAAGTAGATGCTGAATGAAGGCTGGGAAAAAAAAAAGCGTGCTTCTGAGCTATGTATAGTGTTTCACCTATTTATCTCTTGGGTGCCTAAAAATGAGGTAGTTGGGTTCTTTATTTTTGCATCTGGAGCCCCAAATGATGTCCAGGGAAGGCTGGATTTTAAAAAAACAGAATTTAAAACAAAACAAAACCCAAGCTATATATTAAATAGATTTTCATGTTGCATTTCTCCAGAGGTTTTGTCTCTTCTTACTGGTTGGAGGAATTGCTTTAAAATCCCCAAGTTTAGCAAAATGAAGAAAAATTAATTTTTATAAAAAGGTGGTGGGGTGACCTGCTTGCCAGATCTGACCGGACTTCAAACTGTCGGCTCTCCTGCAAGTCCCCTTTCCCTGGGAATAAGTCTCTGAGCGCGCTGGAGCGTGAGGGTAGGGAGGAGTGACACAGGTAATCATGCTCCGAGGCCCCGGGAGCGCTGTGCGGTGATCAGCGCTGGCCTTTCTCTCGGAGCTTGCTTTCCCTTCTTCACTGGGGATTTCCAATCATTTCGGAGCTGGTCTAGTTAGTGCAGCTCTGCTTTAAACCGCTAATCTAACAATTACAGTCATGACAGCATTAGTGAGTTCCTGGTCTAGCTCCCAGGGTGTAGCAAAAGTGCTGCTTTCAGTTAGTGCACAGCTATTTATTTGCCTCCTTCCCTAGAAAGAGTGGCTTCAGAATGTGATTCCGTTTGATTGCTGTTAGCCACAGGAATATGAAATATTATTAATGCTATCTCTGTTCTGTTTTAAATGGACAGTTGAAATGTTTCTGTTAAGATTGTCCGAGTAAAGGACTTGGTACTCTGCCTGGAGGCAGCATCTGGGAGCGATGGTTTCTGGTTCTCCAACTCAGGTTCAAGTGTGGGTTGTGTGCTGTTGAAGTCTGGGTGGCTTGATTTATTGGGTGTGTTATCATATGACTTAATGGAGGATCTTGAGTTTGGTACTGCTGATGCTATTTAAATTAAAAGACTACTTCCTTAAGTATTCTTCCACCATCTGCACAAGAAATAGAACCCCCCCTGAGAAGATAAATAATCTGATTTGGTTTTCTACTTGACAAAATTTCAGCTTTTAGTCTTGAAGTGTTAAGCCTTTATGTACCATGGATTAACAAGTGAATGACCCGAAACATAGTGATTCCTTGCTGAGGAGCTATCTTCAGTTGGTAACACTGGAATTGAGACTATTGGAAAGTATTCCTGAGGCTTTCAGGGTAGTTTTGATTATCTGTTGGCTTGTCTCATGAATTCCCTCGTCATTTAAGACAGGATTAATTTTGTAGAGAGTTTGTGATTTATGTGAAACCATAAGGGCCTTGATTTGCCATTGCCAGGTAACCGATACTGTCACTTACATCCACTTTGCATTACCATGATATATTGCTGTTCTGCTTTGGGAGCATTTGGAACCCACCTGATGCAAGGCTAACCTGCCGTATGGTGCCAGAAAAGTTTCAAATTCAGTGTCTTCTAATGCTTTTTCAGGTTAAAAACAAAATAGAACCTCACTTCGGTGAAAACCCAGTATCCTTGGGGATTTTGTCCTCCAACTCTGCCTAATTTCGTTAGCGTTGCAAACTAAAACTCCTGAAAGTAATCCTTGCTGATGATGTTGCTGGTTCCCAGATCTAACCCAGAGTCTGAAATTCAAGAGGGGTCTGTGCAGTGTACCTGATGTAACCACAACTGTGTGGCAATAACATCAGCAGCGTGAACTTTGCAGCAGTAACTTTTTTTAAAATCAGTTCCAGTATTCAGAGGCTGAGGTTAAAGTCCATTTTGTCAAGTGCTGTTTTAAAATGTGGGTGCGTGGGCTGGGGAGACTCAGTATCTCGCAGTGGAATTGATCTAGGAATGAGTCCAATGCTCAGCCTTGCAGAGGCATCCTGTTTCCTTCTGAGAGGAGGGAGGAAGGATAAATTTATGTGGGGGCTGATCCTTTTGTATTCATGATGGGATGGAGAACATCTAGTGTCTAAGAACCAATATAGAAAGTACCCTGTCTCTTAAGTTGCTCACTGAGTTTGTACCACATTTTTGTAGTGACTGCTGTCTTTAAAGATTCTCTGGTAGATAGTTCTCGCTCTCCTGATGTGAATTGCTCATCTTGGAGCAAAATGACTGATAATTTTTTGTTTCCTCGGAATTTATGCTGACATCTTCTCTCCAAATACTTTTGTATGTGTCCTTTTTCAGGGAACAGAGGCAAGAGAAACTTAGATCAAAATACATAGCTGCTCTTTACTGTTGTTTGCCTACTTCTGTGTCTGTGGCAGTTCAGGATAAAGGTTTTGAGGTACCTTATGACCTCTTGTGAGGTCCCCTTGCAGCTCCCTGATTCTCCCTGGGGGATAACTAGACTGTTAACTATTTGGGGTGGAGGCCCAAAGTCACTTCTGTGTGATGCAAGTGGGTTATTGGTTAAAAAGCGGAGTCTTTTTTCCCCTTTATCTCCCGCTATGTTTAGCTATTTATTTCCTTCCCATTTTGCTAATGCTGGTGTTCATGCAGACACATGGTGAGACAGATTAGGGAGCTGATCCAGCTGAAAACTAACCCATTTTAGTAAGGGAGTGGGAAAGGATTTCTTTGGGGAGTGTTTGCTGGTAATTGCTGGCACAGGGAGGCAATATGAATGAGGGGGAGGGAAAGACGGCTGCTTTTGCAGCAGCCTGTGCTTATGTTGGATTAAAGTGATTCTGGGCCCACACCCATGGTCATTGTTGTAAATTGGCTGGCAGTAATCTCTGCTGAATGATGCCAAGCTCCTCTCATCCCTGCTTTTGAACCTGCATGTAAGCATTGCTGTCTTCCTTGCCTCGGCTCCTCTGAGCTGGAGCAGCAGTAGTCAGTCTGCAAAATGGAGACTTGCTGCAGTGCTGAGTTTGCCCCTCTACTCTCAGTGATTCAGGGCACAAACTGACCTATGCTCTGGTGGCAGGCATGTACCTGTGAAGTTCAAACTGATTTGTTTCTCTTGTTTGTTTCCCTAGGTGATTTCTCTGGTCAGCTTTTAGCTTATTTGAGTCTTGGTCCAATATTCATTATTGTTGGCTTTGTAACACTCATCATATTCAAGAGAGAGCTTCACACGGTGAGTCCTTCTCTCCCTTCCCAGCTCCTCCTTATGTCAAAAGTCTTTTCCTATGTCACCTGGTGCTCCTGTATTCACACTTCTTTTTCTCTCTTTAAAGAGCAACCTTAGGTAAGGTGATCTTCCTGTCAACGAACAGCAGGAGATACTTATCACCTTTGGCAGGTTAAAAGACCGCTTAGCCTTTGCTGACTTTTCTGTTACTCTGTGGTATGTTTTGGGCATTATCTGTCCAAAAACATCGAGGGAGATGTCTGAGGAACTAAAGAATGCTGTTGCAGAGTGGGAACACTCCCAAGATCCAGTAGGATAATAGCACTAGTAGGTTCTGGCAAGATGAGAGAGACACCATCTCTGTAACTCAGTAGGATGTGCTTTCTTTGAACTACTGAGGCAGAAAAGGGGATACAAAATAAAACCTACAGGTTCCCAAGGGAGTGGATCTGTCTATAAGGGCTGCTTCCCAGCTGTGAATCGAATACCAGGGACAGAAGAGACTTGTCCAAATGAGCAACAAGAGGCTTTTTTTGTAATGCATAATGCTTTCTGTCTGGTCTGACAGGTAGTTGGGAATCAGTGTCATGGATAAATTCCCTTTAGGGGAAGTATAAACCTCTTGTAACGTTTGCCCTCAGTAAACAGATAAAATAGGGGCCGGTGAAAGGATTTTTGGCGGCAGATTTCCAATACAGGGCCATGGTGTCATGGGAACCAGTGGCTCAAGGGACCTGGGAATAGGACTTCTAGGTTATTAAGCTGATGCTAGCTAGGAGAGGCAGCTGTTAAGTTCTGGCAACCCAAAGATTTCTTGTTGACCCAAAAGGGAGAATAAACTAGAGTAACTATTGCACAGGTTCATAGGTTTTTGAATACAGGGGCTTGTTAGGTGTTGGTAACAAGACAGGTGTTGAGTTTGATTTCCAGTTCTTATGTGGGAAGTCACCATTGAGCTGGAGAGAGATGCTAGCTGAGTTGCAGCAGCCTGACCTGTAGCTCAGGACATAGAGTGAAAAATTGCTTCATCATCTGGAATGGGTCTGAGTGTTAAGGAGGCAGAGTATCATCACCAGCTGGGAATTTGATCATAGCAGCAGGACTAATTTAGGGGAGGTGTATGGACTATGGAATTAAAAAGTAAAAACAAATGCTACCAGTCTGGGCTCAGTTCAGAATGTTGACTTCATTTTAGACCGAAGACAGCAACTTCAAGATGAAAATATTCATAGAGGGAAAAGCCAGAAAGCCTAAAAAGTCACCTTTTCTAAGCTATTTACCCAAATAACAGTGTGTGCACTCCCCCTGTTGGCCGTCGGGGAAAGACAATCCCTTAAAATCTGCCCTGTTAAAAAATGTCACTTTCTATACTTGCTGGTGGAAGTATGCAAACTGAATTGCTATACGGTGTCATTTCTGTGTATCATCTGCTGAAAAGCTGCATATACACAATGTGTTGCCGAATACACAAAGTGGGCTGAAAAAGAAATGCTTTTCTTCCTCAGGTGGAGGATTTTGAAGCTATTGGTTTTAACTCTAGTAGTTAAAAAAGAAAATTAGAAACATATGATTTGGGGTTTTGTCAGCAGAGAGAGCCTGGTAAGTAGATGGATCTTTTAGATAGGATGACACAGTTGTCTTGCCTTCACAGATCTCTTTCTTGGGAGGGCTGGCATTCAACGAGGGAGTGAACTGGTTAATAAAAAACGTAATCCGGGAGCCTCGGCCCTGCGAAGGTATGGTATGGCTCATTGGTGTCATGGTGTCGGTTGAGTTTTGAGTGGAATGCTAACTGTGGGGGGTTAGAGGGTATTTTCCCCTTTGCCTCATGTTGGCTTTGGATGTTTGGGTGTAAGAAGGCTGGCAGAGCCATCTAGCAGAGACGTGTCCTGTGAACTCATGTGCACATACTTCAGCAGAGTGGTCTGGCTTCACATCTGGAGCGTTCCAGCTGCTATGTACAGAGTAGACCTTGACCATACTCTTTCTTCTTCTCTTCCCAGAAGCCCATTCAACAGTGACCACAAAATATGGGATGCCGTCCAGCCACTCCCAATTCATGTGGTTTTTCTCTGTCTATTCCTTTCTGTTCCTTTATTTAAGGTAAAAATTCAATGTCAGGTTTTGGCTGTTAATATGTTGAAACACCTCAAATAGATGGCTCCCTTACTGTGTGCCACTTAAGCGGCATAATGGAGTTAAATCTGAGGAACTGCACAATTTTCTCTGGCTAGGGTGGATGAAGCATGTCTATCTCAATCTGAATGTCGGACTGTAGTTACCATTGCTGAAAACTGAAGGGTACGGGTGGGCCTCCTGTGCCTGTCTGGGTACAGGTCTCCTGACTTGCTTTTTCTAAGCCATCATGATCCACCAGTGTGAGGAAAGAGGGGGGAATAGGGAGGAGGAAAGAAGAGCTGCTTTCTCATGTGTCTACTCAGTTTCGTCAGTGGGGTTGTCTGCAATCTTTTAGGTAATACCTGTTGCCCACTTGCATGACCTTTTAGTTCATCTCCCTTACCGAGTACTGGTTTTACATGCTGTGCTGTGCTTTTCTGAAATTCTCGCTGGGGCATGGCTCTGTCTTGTGGCTCCACGTGTGGAGGAAGACAAAACTCACAGTTCCTCCTAGCTTTGTGGGCGGTGGAAGGACTCTGACGTCTTGGCTCCCTATTGCATATGCTCAGCATGTGCCTTTCATATCAGTTGCAGTAATTGTGAGCATTCTGCCTTCCATCACAGCAATTCCTGTTAACACCTGGAGAGAGAGAAGTATGGCTTTGTGGCTTCTCTTGAACTGCTGCCAGTGGGACAGATTGCTGCTGGGATGGTATCGAGCTGCCCATGACCCCGCTGGAGTAGAGCTTTCCTAGGTTTCAGAGATAGTGAGAACAGAGATAAGGACTGCTGAGCTCCCTGCCACTGTGCTAATGGCTCTCCATCTCTTTCAGAATGCACCAAACAAACAATGCGAGGTTTCTGGATTTACTATGGCGACATGTGCTGTCCATCTGCCTCGTCACAGTGGCTTTGCTAGTCTCATATAGTAGGTATGGAGCAATTGTTTGTCTTATGCTCTCATACAGTCCTGTGGCCTTTAACAGCCAGCAGACCTGTCATTCCTTATCCTGCATTTCTGATCTAATTCTCGATGACTGCATTATACAAGTCAGAGCTTTGTGGAAGCTGCTGTGTTGCCGTGAGACCCTTCAAATAAGCAAACAAAGGTGCTACATGTGTGGTGCTTCACAGAAGCATTTATAAAACCCAAGATCAGCTGAGCTTGTACCAATTGCCCATCGGCTCCATTGCCATGCTCCAGCCTCACTGCCTCGCCCTCTTTCCAGCACTAATCATGAAAGCATTACACCATGCCTTGGCACACCAGCATCTGCAGCATGTGGATTGCTACAGTTGATCAACTGATTGTTTTGCTTGAGCATTAGTTAATAAAAACATTTATAGCTGTTTGACTTGCAAGATTTGGTTGTATTAAGATGAATAAAGAAAGTGAAACTTTCATAATGATTTTTTTTCCTTTTAGTAGATTTAAAAACAAAAAAAACCCACACACATATAAAATGAGCTTCAGTGATTGGAAACCAGACAAATTCAGGCTAGAAATAAGGCCATGTTTTCCACAGGAAAGTAATTACCTGTTGGCACAGTTGTCTGTACACTAGAGTTGATTCCTTATTACTGGTTATTTTAAAAATTCTGACAGGACAATAAGAGATATATGACCTAATTCAAATAAAAATTAATTTGAGGAAATCCAGTGGCCTGTGCTAGGCAGAGGATCAGATAAGATGATCTTAATGATATATGGGTGAAAAGAATTTTGAACGTGACTCATGTAGCTCGTGTGCAGGGATAACTTAACAGACCATTAATACAGCTTTCCGAAGGGCTGCAATCACAGTAAGCACGCTGTGGTAGTGCAGCCTTCGTGCCGTCATGTTGAGAGCAGCAAAATCATAACAAAAATGCTGTCTATGTTCTTAAAAGCCTTTAAGTCCCAGCTTTGGTGGCTTGGAGGGGACTTGTCCTGTTACTGGCTTTGGAAAAGTCTCTCGTGGGAACCAACAGTAGTAGTTCCTCAGCTAATCCAAAGATACATGAAGAAGAATGTGGAGGGTTATCGAGTTAAGCTCAAACTAGAAGTGCTCTAAGCTGAAACTGCTGTAGCAGGGAAAACAGTTTTTCCCAGTTTTTTCCCCACTTTTTTGCCAGCTTTTCAATGAAAAAAAGATACCCACTTTTAACATCTGGAGGATAACTTGCTCAGAATGTCTGAGGGTCCAGTGAAACACCAGCCCTTGAGTCATGCCACCTCTTCTTTTAAAGCCTGTCTGGTGACTTTTCTCTTCCACTGCAGGGTTTATTTGCTTTACCACACCTGGAGCCAAGTCTTATATGGAGGTGTGGCAGGAAGCATTATGGCCATAGCCTGGTTTGCCTTCACACAAGAGATATTAACTCCTCTCTTCCCAAGGATAGCTGCATGGTAAGTCTATTTTGTGGAGGTTTTATTCCTGCAAGTCTGCATTTTGTGGATTGCTGTTTTGCTCATTAAATGAGTCCCTAAATGAGCTGGTAACACAGGTGTAGTAGAATTACCTGACAAAAGAAAATTTTCCTAATCAATTGGTGTAAAAATTGTACCTTGCATCTGAAGCAGAACAAACGTAAGGCTACTTCAGTCTCTAAAATTTTAGTTGTAGCTGTGCAAGCCCTGACTGCAAATGGGCTGCTCAAACGTCTGTGAACCACCTAAGTTACAGATGCTAGAAATGAGAATTCCTGTGTTCTGTTCCAGTTTTGCATACTGACTGTTGTGGAACCTACTTGTTCCTCCATGTTTTCTTGTGCATGCATATACAAAGGATCATATATCCTTACCTGCTCTGGGGAAGAGAGGAAGTTTAAGCAATTGTTAGTTTGTAAAGCCCTGCTAAAGTTGTGAGGTGTGGCGGAGTGCTGGAGAAGCTTTTCGGGCAGAACAGATCTTCTTAATGAACATCTCATGACCTAGTGAAATTGCAAAGCCATTTAAATGTAATATAGTCTGGAGATGTTGTATAAGGAAAGAAGAAAAACAAGAGGGTTTTTTTTGATTAAATTTAACAGGCAGCTCCTTTCGCAGACTGAAGGGTAATAGAATAATAATGTTAAGTCTGGAGCAGTTTTTGTGCTATTTTATTTTGATCAAAATTGTGATGGAGAAAAAGTCTTAATTATTTCCCCCTTTCCACCACCTTGTCCATTTCCAGGCCAATTTCAGAGTTCTTTTTAATCCGAGATACCAGCCTCATTCCTAACATCCTGTGGTTTGAATACACAGTCACGAGAGCAGAGGCAAGGTAAGTGATCTTGGGGGGTGGAGGAGCTGTAGCTGGTTTGACTTGTCAGATGAGGTTATTAATTTATTTTCTAATATGTAGATAGCTGCTGCGGGTAGAATAGTGCAGAGTAAAGAAATACCAAGTTGTGGGTTAACTACTGCATCTGGAAGGTGAGTCTGTTGGGGAGTGTTTGGGATTAAAGAATGTTTCCTTTAAATAGTATTTCAGCTCCCTAGCCCATGTTCTTTGCAAGCAATTGTTTATCATCTTGCATCCTCATGTGAGCTTGTGCACACTTAAGACACGGTGGATGTTCTAGGACTGTAAACAGTGGGAAGGGCTGATCTCCTTTTCGAATATGGTGGGGGTAGCTTTATTTTTGTGTGGAGCTAAGCAGAGCCTTACTTTAATTCTCCTATCTTTTGCCCCCTGGTTTGCCGCAATACCCTGCGATAAGGTTGGGGCCACCCCTCTCACCCTGCCCGCTGTGTTGCCGTTGCAGAAACAGACAGCGCAAGCTGGGTACGAAGCTCCAGTGACTCGGGACGCGTGGGGACCAGAGCGCACGTTTTAACGGAGACAGACAAGAGCAGAGACCTGGGAGCAGCAAGGAGCCTTTTAACAGTCGGACCAAAGGAACAGGCAGGGACCATACCCAAAACCTGAAAGCCTTTGCTCTGCTTTAGCAGCTAGCTGGATGCTCCCTGATGCATGTGGGACCGTGCAGGAGTAGAAACTCATTTTCAACACAGATGCACATTGCCGGTTGGAATGTACCATCACGTCTACGTCAGGGGAGGGGGGAGAAAAATGCCTGGTGCCATGTTCGGGGGAGGGAAAACCAAAAATGCATCCTTTCTGTGACTTTTTTTTTTTTTAGCATGAAATATACACACTATTTATTTATTTTTTTAAATGGAACTATTGTTTTTGGGGTGGGTGAGGCATTGACTGTGTGTTTCGTTTTTGCTTTTTGTTTGGGTTTTTCTTTTTGGAAGAAGATGACAAAACTAATCTCAAGTTCATCATGCTTAATTAGGTCTTTTAATTTTTAAAAACTTCTTAGGAGGGCGGGGAACTGAGATGGGGTGGCTTAGGCAGAAGGGAGAGGAAGGCTTCCTTTCCTTTCTGCACCCACTTTGGGAGATCAAAATCAATTCCAACTGCACTTTGTACAGATGGGAAGAGACTAAAGATCTGATTTTTAACACTAGTGACGGTTCTGCAGGGAAGCCTGCACGGATACCATTAAGGGGAGTGTGTGTGTAAAACAAAGGAAAAACTGAAATATACTATTTTTTTTTTTTCCACTGCTGCTCCTGTTGTGTAATTAGCAAGAGTGTCTTTCTCAGAATCTCTTCTAGGTGGCAAGATTATCATACATATCGCGTTTATTCCATCTCTTCCTTTATACTTTTATTACCTCAGGGTTGCTGCGATCTGTACAGCTTCTGTTGTTGTACTGAGCGTGCCTCCGATGGCACTAGAAAGCCTGTTGGTTATAAGCAGCGCTGTGCTCCAGTAACAGTCAGCCCAAAGCCTTACAAAATTCAGTTGCTAGTCTCTGTCTTAAGCACTGGATTTTTGATTTTTTTCTGTTAAAGCTTAAGGGAGGGATTTTTGAGAATTAATAAAGTGACAACTGTAAATGAGTAACAAGGCAAATGACTAGTAACTAGCTCAGCTGCTGTCTGAATTATTTCTCGAAGAGTCCCAATAGAATCCAACCGTGAACTCAAGTAGTGAGCTTATCCTAGCAGAGACTCCTACCAGTTATTACAGTGGCTTGGTTGGGGTTCTGCAGTAGTAACCTTGAATGCTGAACTCCTACAAGCAAGTTTTGCTTTCCGTCCTTCTTCCATTCCGATTCTTCATTTGGCCAGTCAGCTCTCTGGATGCTCTGTCTCTGTGGGAGTCTGTCTGCCATATATGTATGCTGGTGATGCCTACAACTTCTGTGATCCATGAGTTAACCTGGCAAGGGCTATACTCAAAGTGCTTCAGGGCTGTGCATGGACACTTTCTGTATTTCTAGTATATAATGCAGCAGTTCAAGTGTAACTACAGGGGAGTATTTATTCAAAGCACAATTGACTTGAACTTTCACAGATAAAGGACAGCTTCTGAACTGGCTCAAAGGTCATCAGTGTGCCTTCGATGCAGTCATGTGAGCAGAGGTAAAATGACTGTCACATCTTGGTCTTGCTGCCTGTTTTACTATCTCCACTTTAATCAGACTTCTGCATTATAAAGCTGCTTGAAGTGAGATGTCTTTCTGTTCATCTTGATTATTTTTTAAGTTTTCGTCTGTGCCTGTTGCCATAGGAGTTTGTGTTTGTATGGAGTGGGAGCTGCTGTAGAAACTGTTGGACAAACCAGAGTGTTAACTGTAGAAAGCAGTGATCCTGATCTAGGAGATCAGGAATGAAGGCTGTTTAAATTTCTGTGTTTAAGTAGCTATGGGTAGTAAACTAACTGTTTTCAGTTGTTACAGCAAATATATTTTTTTAAAGAACTGTTTAGTATTTGCGTAACATGAGCAATCTTGTTAACATCTGAAGGACCTGAGCACTGGATCTACTTTGAAGGTGCATCAGAATAAAGAGGCATCTTGCAGCTTTCACAAGGACATTTGATCTGACTCGGAACAGCTCTATTTAAATGAGACAGGACATCAGACAGGCCACATGACATGGTGGTACCATATGTTTCAGTTTGAAAGCTGGTACTAATCACTTAGGTCTTGCAAAACCATTTATTTTCTCTTTGTATCTCTTGTAAGTAAACTTACAAAGCCAGAAGGGAGATCACGACTCTCTTCCCCAAGGACAAGGCTGAAAGAGTGGATTGTTTCAAGAGTGGCTAGCACTTCCCTAGCCTCTCTTAAGCTGTTACGACAGACCGCTGGAAAAGCTGTATGTGGAAGCACCTATTGAGAACTAGAGCATAGGGAAGAGGCTTCATCTCCTCATGGAGAGCAGTGCAGTGTATGTTCCACTTCATGTTGCCTTCAAACCCAAGCTTCCTACAGTAATTCTTGGGAGTAAGGGAGAGGAAGAAGAGCTCTTGTAAGACACTATAATAAACTCTCCTCCGTTCTCCGAGTTGTTTGTAATCTGCATCTTTTGCCTACTTTTGCTGTGTCTTTCCAGAAATCTTTGCAATACTTGATATAGTAGAAATTCCTTAGTGATCCCATGGATTTTCTTAACTAAATGGTGCTATGCAGGAAAAAGATTTGAGCTCTGCCTTATTATCCTACACTTGTATGAAGTCTCCTGCCACTAGTTTTCTGAAATGGAGTATTTTCTTTGGAATATGTGGCTTTGCAAACAGATGCTTTCTTTTCCTCCCCTTACTCAAGGGGGCTGGATGGAGATACTAAGACAATAAAAGGAAGGTGACAGAATGCTGTGGTTCACTGTTCTTGCTGTCCCCACACAAACATCCTCCCATAAGGGCAGTTATGTAACTTCTGCAGTGTCTAAGGAGATTTAAGCCTTTTTGTAGCACTTATCTGTTTATTGTGTTTCAGTTTCTTCCAAGCACATTTCAAAACTTTGCATGACATTACACTAGTGAAACAGTATTTAACACAGCTAAGCAGCAAAGCATGCAACATTACCAGGCTCTCTCATAAATTGCACTCATACCCCAAGAGTTATCTGAATATTTTCAATCTATGCATTTCTTAAATTATTTGTGCCAATATTTCTTAAATTATTTTGTAGTTTTTCTGGAACTTAAGTTTCTTGTACTTAATGTGCCTTTAAGACAATGGACATCTCTTGATAAAACAATCAGATAATCAGAAACAGGGAGGAGCATAGTATTCAGTAAGTTGACACTGAAAAAAATAAGAAGGTATGAATCATGTGCCTTTCTTTAAGACAATCTCTTGATAAAACAATCAGATAATCAGAAACAGGGAGGAGCATAGTATTCAGTAAGTTGACACTGAAAAAAATACGAAGGTATGAATCAGGAGGACATCACATTTTAGAACTTGTACAATAGGAAAAGACTTTTTAAAGGAAAAACCTTGTAATGATTTTAATGTCCTTTCAAGCACTTCAAAAATCAGCTTCATTCGTCTGAATTTCAGCGCCGTATATCATTAAGGAAGCATTAAGTGGTTTATGAATCTTGTATCTCTTTCAATGTGGTAGTCTGCTTCTTGCAGCTGTACTCTGCTGAAGCTAGTGGGATATCCAGATTTAGACCTAGAATAGATCAATCCCATCTTCTGAGATACAGTCACAGCAGAGCGTACTTCTGCTTAATCTTTAATAGGCACTTTCCTTTGAGAGCCTTCCCCTTGGATGAGACAGAAGTAGAAAAGGGCCAGTCTCAAATACTTAAGTGGCAATACTGTAGCATCAGTGGTTGAAGGCATTGCAGACAGGGAAAAATAACTCATCCCCTAGCAACGGAGGTTGATTCAGTATGGGGGGAGGATTACTTTGGCAAAAGGAATATTTTTTTTCAATGTAAAAGGCTCCAAAAACCCAGATGTTATTCCAGTAAGGTTTGGTCTTATGTAGTATTTACACAATCACTTACACCGTGATAATACTGAGTATCCTCTTGCAGTTTTCAGTCTAATTCATACAGAGGAGTCAACAGAGCAGGGATGCGTGCTCACAGGTTTGTAGCGCTCCTAGTTTTTTTTTAGACTATCTCACTCCATTCAGGATGCTTCTAAAAGATCAACTAAATCCATGTAGATGATGTGAAAGTGGCAGTTCATACAATCACTGGCTGTGCAGGTGAGTTTCAGTTAAATTTTCCTTTTTAAGGTTTATTTAGGTGTAAGATAAAAGCTTTGAAATAACATCCTTTTAGGAAAAAATGCAGTAGTGTTGGTTTGTGTCTTTCAAGAAGCGAGTTAGAATGATTTTTTTTTTTTCTTTTACTTTAAACAGATTTAGTGCAAATTTCTTCATATACGTTCACCAAGGCACTTTGATCATGTCCCTTGCTGTTCTATGATCAGAAAAGTAACAATTATGATCAAGTATTTCCCTGTAACAAAACAGGCCATCAGACTCCTAATGCTTCTTGTTTATGGTGATGTCCCAGCAGCCACGTCTTGAAGGGTGTGCAATTTAAATATTAAATTCCTGTTGCAGAAATAGTACTAGAATTCTTCATTACCATACAGTTTTACTAAATAAAAGTATAGTCAGGAGCTTGGATTCTGGCAGATTCATTGGAAGTAGTGCTTACAAAAACTCCTATGCTAAAATCGTATGTTAATGTTTTATGTATAATCTTTTACTGTCTCAAGTTTGTCAACTGAACATGAAAACACGATCATGAGATCATTCTCTCACAGAACAGAAGTGGCACAAATCTGAGTAACACTGCAGTAAGAAAAAACTCCAAGAGTGGCAGAAAAGGTGCAGTGCTGTTACTGCAGGAACAATGGCTGCCACAGTGGACAAACATCTACAGTGCCTCCATGTTCTCAGCTTTCTTCCTGCTTTTCAAGGTTTTCTGCCCTGTTAAAGCAGAGTGATGTGAAAGAAGAGTGATTCTGCAGCTGTTTTTCCTTTGGCTCTAACAGATTTGAACTCTGTGGGCTGGAAACGGAAGTACGTTCTGGAGTTCCCGATCAGAAACATTCTTATTTGTCCACAACTTAGGCATAATACATTATGCACAAATATGTTGTTTCTGAAAGCAGGGTATAAAACCACATTGGGTTAACATGTGTGCCCTGAAGGAGACTAGGCATGTGGCCTTCTGGGTAGTAAACGGAAGGTCAGCATCTCTTCCTTTTCCTCAATTCCAAAGAAAGGTACAATGAAGCAAGCGTCCTGCTAAATGCATAGGCAATCGTTTCTCATCTCTGCAATGTTAAGGTACATAAAGCTAAAGCTAGCAAAACCTGTGTGAGAGAAGTTTTGTGGAAGCTTTGTAGAGCTGAGCCTGAAGATCCACGGCTAGGACCACAACAGCAAGCTTAACAAAAAGCCCAGAACAACAACAACAAAAAAACTACCTTAGTTTGTCACGAATTGTATTCTGTTGTTAATAGGGTCAGTGCAACAGAAAGGAGATCCCAGCATCCTAAAACGAGGGGAAGGGAACATTCCCAGGCCTGTAAGGCATGTAATGGTCAGAGTGCCTGGGATAAGTAGTGCAGTGCACTCTAACGAGACTGGATCTGCTCTGACTTAAGAACTTCTTTCTCCCCTTGCCAAAGTTCAATGGTGACATTTTGCCAGAGCAGCAGAAAAATCTTCAGTCAAGTTTGAAAGATGCTGTGCTCTTCAGAAGACTAAACCAGCAAAAAGACTTGGTCTTAGAGTAGTTCCATCATATAATAAACATTTCCTGCTTTTTCTGGAGAACTACCTTCCTCAGCAAATGGATTTAGATACTGGGTAAGGATTGTGCTTCCTGTA